AGCATTTTCCCTTTTAAAGCCCATCCCTCCATCTGTGTTTTAGAGCTATTTCCCTCCCACCTTCTAATGTTCATTATACTATCAATAATTAATTTGTCCTTGCATATTTATCCTCTCCCTCTTAAACAACCCCTTTAAATATGCTTGTGTCACCAAAGTTTAAATAACCTTGCCTCAAACCCCCAGTTTTCATGCCATTTTGCTCACCTTCACAAAATTCCTAAAAGAGTTGTCTGAACCCTCGACCTCCTTTTCCTTACCTCCCATTCTATAACCATTTCAATCTGGCTTTATTCTTTGTTACTCAATAAGGTCAACAATAACCTTCATAGTGTTAAATTGAACAATATTAATTTCTCATTTTATTTCAATTACCTGCTGATTTAAACAGTGTTGTCTATTTCTTTCTCAAATATCCTCTTCACTTGCCTTCTGTGATGCACCATCATCTCAAGTTTCTTTCCTCTTCTCAGTATCCAGTGCAGGGTGATTCCTTTATACCAAGCCACTAAATTCTAAGATTCCCCATGAGTTACCTTAGCCCTTTTCTCTTCTTACTGGACAATCTGTATCTAACTAGTATCAGCTATATCCAAAGCTTCTATCACTATCTTAATCCAGGTGACTCACACAAAATTTAATTAAACATTTGATTTGGGGGTAATTGTAAATTCATATTCAGTTTTAAGAAATAAAACAAGCCCTGGCCAGTTTGGCTCAGCGGTTGGAGCGTCAGCCTACGGACCAGAGAGTCCCAGGTTCAGTTCCTGCTAGGAGCATGTACCACAAAAAGAAGGAAGGAAGGAAGGAAGGAAGGAAGGAAGGAAGGAAGGAAGGAAGGAAGGAAGGAAGGAAGGAAGGAAGGAAGGAAGGAAGGGAGGGAAATCCTATGTACCCTGTATCAGTTTCATCCCAATGGAAATATCTTATAAAATTGTAATTCAATATTATAACCAGGACATGGATATTGATATAGTTTAAATACAGAAGAGTCTCATCAACCCCAGTCTTTCCCATGTTGTCCTTGTGTAGCTACATTCACTTTCCTCTCACCCTGTTCCCTCCATCTTATTCCCTGGAAACTATTAATTTGTTCTCCATTTCTATAATTATGTCATTTCAAGGATATTATATCAATGGAATCATATAGTATGTAATATTTTGAGATTGGCTTTTTTTCACATAGCATGATTCTCTGGACAGTCATTCCAGTTGTTGTTGTTTTTTTATTGACAAATAATATTCCATGGTATAGAGATACTACAGTTTGTTTAATTATTCACTCATTGAAGGACATCTGTGTTACTTCCAGACTCTAGCTATTACAAATAAAGGTGTTTCTATGTAAATATATGTTTTTATTTTTCTGAAACAAATGACCAAAAGTATAATTGCTGGGTTGTATGGTAGTTGCATGGTGTTGTTGCTTAAGTAACTGCCAAGTGGTTTTCCATTGTGGCTGCACCATTTTACATTTCCACCATCAATGTATGAATGCTCCAGTGACTCCATACACTTTCCAGAATTTGTTATTGTCAATAACATTTTATTTTAGCCATTCTGACAGGTGTGCAGTGATACCTCAGTGTGGGTTTAATTTGCATTTTCCTAAATACTAATGATATTGAACATCCTTCCATGTGTTAATTTACCACCTGCATATCCTCCTCTGTGAAATATCTCTTCATGTCTTTTGTTTGAGTTGGCAATCTGTAAATACTTAATGATAATGATCTTGGTATTTTAGTGACTTTATATTCCAAATCGCTGTTCGATCCTCTGCTTCATCTAACCTCCTGTTTATTCTTTCCAGTGTATTCTTTATTTCAGATATTGCATTCTCCACTTCTTACTGGTCCTTTTTTTATGGTTTCTATTCCCTTTTTCATGCTGTTTAGCATCCTTATAATCATTACTTTGAACTCTATATCTGATAAATTGCTTGCCTCTATTTCATTTAGTTCTGAATATTTCTCTCGTTCTTTCATTTGGAGCCTGGTTTTTTGTCTCCCCATTTTGGTTGTCCCTGAGTGTTTGTTTCTATGTATTAGGTAGATCTGTTATGACTCCCAATCTTGGTAGGGAGGCCTTATATTGTAGGTGTCCTTTGGGAACCAGCTGGGTGCTCTAGGAATGTCCTTTGAGGGCATTATATGGTTCCTTCTGTTGTAATTGAGTCTTAATTTTTATTGACCCACTTGCTCATGGGATCAACCCTCAGGTTGGCTGACGGTGAGGCTTAACCCCCAAAACAGCATGTGAGCTGCTGTGCAGATGCTGATCACACAAAGTGAAATTCACCTCAGCAGGGTTTAGTACCTGTGGAGATCTCCCTTTGGATGTGCTGCTAGTGAAGCTTATTGGATCCTGCTCTGTGGTCTGAAGCTGGCCACTGAATGTATTAGTCTTGGTTTCTTGGAAGGAACTCTGATGCAAGTCAATGTCAGATGCTATCTGTGACTGGCCCTGGGCAACCTGGGAGCTATCAGTGACCCACTGTGTGGCTGCCTCTGCTGGGCCTGTGTATGGAAAAGGTCAAGCTGTGCACTAAGATCGGCTTTTACCAGCACTGGGCCCAGGGGCAGGTCAGCAAAATTTTCAAAACACCTAGAGATCCGCCTCTACCTGTAGACTGCCTGTTAGGCTCAGTTACTGAAAGAGCCTCTGACTGTCATCCTTAGCAGGTAGAAAGCTCCATGAGGTGGGGTGAGAGGGATTCCAGAAAGTGGAGCTATTGCTTTCCCCCAGGCTGATGCCATAGGAGAGACGTGCTGTGCCTGACAAAGATGGCTTCTGCATTATGAGGGAATGACTCAGCATAGGGATCCTGGAAGCTGTCCCTCAGCTCTCCATCCGGAGCCACCAATTCCAGACTCTCCTCATGCCACTCTAGTCCTCTCTACCCTCCCTTTGCTGGAGCCTAGGGTGACTGCAAACAAAATTTTGTGCATTGGCCCTTTAAGAGCATAATTGTGTCTCTAGTCATTGCTCCTTGGTGGACAGAAGCCCTGCTGCTTTTCATAGCTAGATGTTATGTTCTTTCTGGCTCTGGTACTCTAGGCTGGGAACCTGGCTTGAGGTTTAGACCCCACACTTCTCAGGGGGAAACCCCTGCTGCTGAGCTATCCCTTTGGAATCTCAGTGCTGCCCATGGGAGCCTGGCCAGACCTCTTGTGCCTCCTCACTTCCTACTAGTCTCGATGTGGCTTCTTCAGTAAGTCCTTGGTTAAAATCTTCTCTCCTGCGAATCTACAGTTAGTTATTCAGGATGATTTTTCTGTAATTTTGTTGTAATTTCAGTTTGATCCTGGGAGGAGGTTAGTGCAGCTTCCACCTAATCCACCACCATCTTGGATCACTCCCTAGTGACTTTATGCAAAGAGATCATATCTACAATATGGTTAAAAGGGAAGTTTTTGCATAAATAATAACAACCAGCAAATTATTAATTGTCTTGATATTTTCCATATTGAATGAATTTATTTAACTCCTTAATAACTAGTGTTTGTAATAGAACTATTCTTAAATTTCCCAAATATATATACATTTTTAAACTACTACTCATTTCTTACCAATATTAGAAATATATTAAATACTCTCAGCAATTTTACAGAATAGTAATTTCAACAAAAGACTGATTATGTTAATAAAAAAGATTAACTTTGTTCTGGCTGGGTGGCTCAGTTGGTTGGAGCATCATCCCATACATTAAAATGTTGCAGGTTCAATTCACAGTCAGGGGACATACCTAGGTTTTAGGGACAATCCTTAATTGGGGCTCATACAGGAGGCAACTGATTGATGTTTCTCTCCCACATCAATATTTCTCTCTCTCTCTCCCTTCCTCCCTCTCTCTAAACATTGATTTTAAAAGAATATTATTTCAAGATTAAAGAAATAAATACAGTAATTAATTAATTTTAAGAACAAAATGACACAATCATATAATTATTCTTTATTATTAAAAGAAGAAAAAAAAAGAGGCTTCCTCAATAATCCATGACTTTTATCAGTTACTGCTTGTACTAACCTTACTTATATTTAGGTTGCTACACTCAAATTTAAAAATGCTTTTTTCAATTCATTAAAAAGTTTTTAATTTTTTTTAACAATTTTTAATCCAAAATTGCATTCCCATCTCATACGCTGTTAGAAGACCTTAGGCCAAATCAGCATCAAAACTCTGTTGTATTTTCCTTATTCAGTGAGTGAGATTTAATCACTGAGAAGTTTCCAATTTTTTCTTTGCTAGTTTCTATTAGAAGTGCTAATGCTTCATCTCTGGTCTCTTCATGTCTCAAATAACATGAAAAAAAAAGGAAAAAAATAAGGGTCCTTTGTTTACCTGTTTTTCCAACCTTATGACTATAGGGGGTGATATGACTTACATACCAGCATCGTCAGCTTATATTTCCTCCTTTCTGATAAGTATTTTTATTGGGCCTAGTGTGAAATGAAATACAGCTGCATCTTTTTTCCCCTTACTAAGCATATAATAGTGAATTGGTAACATTTGCTATTTTCATAGATTGCCTTCTGAAATAACTTGTTATTATATATCTCAGCTTTTACCTGAACATTTTTTCTCAAGGGTCAGCATATCTTTAAAGAAAAAAAAAAAGATAAAATACATAATCTGTTTGATCATTTCAAAATTTAAAATTAAATATATTTTCTGTGAAATCACCTTCATTATTGATTTATCCTTACCTATGGATAGTATTCCTATCACATATAATAGAATCAAATGTTTGAGACAATGTAGGTTTATATTGTAAAATAACTTGTCCTTTCCTCTCTGTTACAGCTCAGCTATAGTATTCAAAGTCTATAATTAGCAAGTTTCTCCTGTTGTTCTCACAATGAAGGAGGTTCAGCCAATAGAATAAAGATAAAAGGACCAAAAACATTTAATGGAAATAAGTTGTTGTAACTGCCTAATTTAACCCTACAAACCATTTCTCCTCCTACTTAAGGTTGCTATTGTTTTTGTTTTATAGGGACCGAGCTCCTTTTATTTTTACTTCAGAGATGGAATACTTTATTACAGAGGGTGGGAAAAACCCACAGAATTTCCAAGATTTTGTGGAGCTTTGTTGTCGAGCTTACAATATTGTCAGAAGGCACAGCCGACTGCTCTTGAATCTTCTAGAAATGGTAAGTCCCTTGGGGAAATAGCAAAAATAATAAGCTTCATTTGTGTCTGTCTTTGGGTAGTCCATTTTTGCTAATGGTTTGGAGTTCCCCAAAGAACTATTCAAAACAGGAAGAAATGAACAAACTAAAAGTACCGTTGTATAGCTTATAAACACATTTCTTCATAAGTTATTACATTAGTTCACAGTCATTGTTGCAAATATTTCTATTCAAAATAATATTGATATAATCAGGGGTTATCTCAGTACATTTTGATTAAAGCTCAAAGACAGTGATTTAGATTATTGTATCAATCATATTATGTTTTCAGATTTTTTTTCCAAAATGTTTTTTAAAACTATCACATTTATATATTACAACAACCCAATGATGTAGACCAGGCAAGGATTTTTCCTGGCTCCCTCCCTAGTCTCTGCCTTTGATTACTTGCCTACTTTCCAGATTAAAAACTGAGGGTAAAAAATGTGAGGTGACTTGCTAGCAATTCAACTAGAGGATGCTACCTTTAGTAGTATACATCGGGTTTACTGAGTCATGGTCTTATATGCTCTCTGCTGACCAAAGGGAAAATTTTAATGTTTCATTCTACTATCCAGTACAAAAACATGGCGATCATTTATGCAGGGTGAGAGGGGAGAGATCTGTTAGAAATATCTTCTGGGAAAATAATGTAGTGATTAATTTGGTCACATACATACACACTAGTAATTGCAGCAAACTAGGAGAGAAATACACCCTTGGCAGACCGGTATGGTGTTTGGAGTCAATATGATCATCAAAACTAACTGGTTTAGAGGCTTGAATTTGACAATAATTCTACTAGATGCTGTTAAGGACACAAACTTGATAGCCAGGAGTTCCTGGATTTGAATCCTAGTTTGGCATTTACTAGCTACATTCTTCAGGGTATGTTACTTAATTCTAGTAAGACTCTGTGTCCTCGTCTATTAAATGAAGATAATAGCATCTACCATGTAAATGTAGAATTGATGAATGTACAACCTAATAGTGAATGCTTTGCAAGAGCACTATGCTAGGATCTTTATGTGTACTAATCGATTTACATTTTATAATAACCCTAATAGATAATTAATATAAAGCATTTAGCACAGTATCTGCCAAATAGTAGGGTTCGGTTCATTTATTATACTATATCCTTGTTAATCTATAAGAGTACTGTCCAATACAGTATCCTCTAGTCAATGTGGTTATTTAAACTTAAATCAATTAAAATTGGATAAAATTTTAAATTCAGCTCCTCAGACTCACTAGCCACATTTCAAGTGCTCAGTAACACTCAGTTGACACATGTGGTTAGTGGTACTCCATTGGACAGCCCAGCTATAAGACATTTCCATCACTACAGAAAAGTTCTATTAAGTAGTATTAACTAAATGTTGACCTTGTTGCAATGAAGATTTGATTTGGATCCTTATTTTAACTTACTTTTCTTTTCTCTGTCTTTAAAAATGAAAATTTTCAAAAATGTTATAAACATATAGCCCTTCATATACAAAAACACTTTGGTTCCTTCATGTGTGAACTACATATATAAGGTTCTGTTCATCCCAGAATCTTCAAGATAGCTTTCCAATAATAATCAGTGACTCATAGTCGTTGATTTGCATTTTATCTCCCAATTCTATTAGGCCATATGGCAATCATAAGATGCCTTATGGTTCATAATCTGTGTTCATATCACAAAGGAAACTCTACAAGGACCCAGTCTATAACCTTGACTCTATTTACATAATAAACATTCAGATAGTATCAACTCTAATATCTACTTGGGCTCTAGCAGGCTCTAACTCCTGAATCCATGAGCTCTTGAGTACTTACTATATACCAGAAATTAGGGAAGACACATTATCATATGCGACCCAGTCAGTTTTATCATTTTAAATTTAATAAGGAAGATGAAATTTGTATACACAAGTAACTGAATTATACAACATTTCTAAATGTCCATAATGCTGTAAATAACTACATACAAGAGTAAGTACCATACTAACTACTACCTGAATCAGTCATAATTTCAAAAATAAACCCAAAGCAGAAAAGCACAAATATAGTTTATGATATTTCTCAGGAGACACTAACATTATGCTGAATGATAATAAGTGAGCATGTTAATGTGAAAGAATGGCTTTTTTAAAAAAAAAAAAAATCAGAAAGCTATTGTTGATATTTTTTACTAAACTTTTCTACTTACCAGAAAAGAAAGCTGCTAGCATGAGTCATAATATATTAAGTAATCATTAAATTATAGTTATTGTAATCTTATTTAATTTAAAAATATAGATGTATGGTATTTTAATCAAGTACTTAAAAATTCTCATAATATGATATATATATCAGATGTTGAAGGATTCTGGTATATAATATATTCCAAAAAATCTCTCTATGTTTTAATTACTCAAGTCTTGACTTTTAGGCTAAGGAGGAAAATTTAGCAGTAAAGAACACTAATTCAGATTAAGCATAAAATCTTAGATCTGGATTGTCACAGAAGTTGAAACAGAGGTCAGAGGCAATATAGACCAATTCGATCAATGAATGAACATATATGTAAAACAGCAGTGTGTTATTCTTTCTGTTTCTGGTCATTTACTTCTAGGTTTTCTTCCTCTCAGGTTTCAAGTGGCTTTCTGTAAATAATAAAAGCATCAGTAAAGGTTTCAGTACCACTTGCTGTACTATAGCTTCTTACAATGAAAACTAAATTTAAATTTATGAAAGATTATTTCCCTCAATTGTCTCCCCAACTGACTCTTGCTATGTAAACTTCTTTAAAAAGAACTCAATCTACTTCACCCTGACTCTGTCATGACTTGAGAAATACCTGATATGAGTCTAACTTTTACCTTCCATGAATGGGCAATAGCCAGGACCATGAGCCACAAGCATGTGGTAAGCCTACTGTAGAGTTAGTGGCTCATCCTCGGTAGGGAGCAGCATTTTTCCAGATAGCCACAATCCTTTTTATTTACTCCTGGGAAAAGTAGGGAAAAACTAATCCATGAAATTACCATCTTGCTTAAAAGCACATCTGCAGGAGATTCAAGAATGTTGCTGGCTGAATTCACTAACATAAAAGCCTGTATTTCATCAGCTTTTCTCTCATTAAAAAATCAATATCAGCTATTATGAAAGGTTCCCAAAGAACATAGGCACCATTCACCCAGTTTAAAATGTTTTTCACACCCTTTATTATATCAGATATTTCCCAGCAGAAATCTAACTTCTCTTTGTGGTGGCAAAGACTGTCTGCTGCCCAAAGCACAGCTATCAAAATGATGTGGGTTTAGTAGGAGGAGAACAGAAGTAGAAATTTTTTAAATGTTCCTTTCCTTTGAAAAGGAACTTACTTGCTCATTACCTGTACTAACCACCCTTTCTCTTTCCTGTGGTTGCAATTTAAGTTATTACCCATGTAATCTAAGCTAGGAGACACTTGCACTACATCTCTGTGGGTCAGAGAACAGACATGGCTAAATGGACCCAGGTGTGAGGCAATCCTTACTCTGACGTGCAGATTCACAGCACTCAAAGCCTCCTCTCTAAGGAATAGCGCACATCCACAAGGCCAAAGTCAGCACTTGCTACCTTTAATCAGCTACATGACAGGGAGAGAGCTGGGATTCTTCTGATTTTAAACTGGCTGCACTTAGCACTTGTATGGGGGCGGGGTGCGCATGTGTTGGTGGAGGATGGAGTAAGTATAGGGTCTACTTCCCAAAGAAATGTTTGACAGCAAGCAGGTGTGAATTCAGGGTATCTATAGGAACTAGAAAGCAATTCAGATCTAGGAAAGAAGCCTTTCTTAGCAAATGGATAATCACGATGTGATAAAGGGTAAAACTGCTTCACTAAACACTGATGTCTCTAGAACTCTGAGTACAGAACTGATATGATAGCCTAACTAGACACTTGTTTCTTTGGAGAATATATCTTCCTATGGTAGATTTTAAGTTTGGTAGTCAAATGTTGTCAATTACTAACAGGGTCAGAGATTTTTCTTAATTAATTCACTCATTCATTTATTCATGCAGTCATTATTTCATAGGCATTCATTATGGTCTAACTATTTACAAAATATCATACTAGGCAATAGAGACAATTCAACATTGAATAAAAACCCAGTTCCTGTTCTCAAAGAACTTAAAATCTAATCTGACAAACATGTGCATGACGAAAATGCAGTAAAATCTAGGCAGCAATAAGTGAAAGAGGTGGGGCCAAGATAAAACATGATTGTCGTGCAGAGAAAGCAGTAATTAAATCTTATCAAGGGGATCTATGGTGCTTCAAGGAGGAAGAAGCATTTGAGCTGAGATTTCAAAAAGAATTTCAGTAGACAAGGAGGAAGAGGAAAGGAATTCTGGCTGAGAGAAAAACATAAATACTATGAAGGCTCAAAGAGTATGGGAATAAAGTGTGGCCCTGGCTGATTTGGCTCAGCAGTTAAAGCGTCAGCCCATGGATCAAAGAGCCATGAGTTGGATTCCAGTCAAGGGCACATACTTCAGTTGTGGTTTGTCTCCAGCCCTGGTTGGGCCATGGGAGAGGCGGCCAGTCGATTTGCCTCTCTCACATTGATGTCTCTCTCTCTCTCTCTCTCTCTCTCTCTCTCTCTCTCTCTCTCTCTCTCTCTCTCTCTCCTTCCCACTCTAACTGAAGATACATGGGAAAATATCCTCAGGTAAAGATTTTTTTAAAAATGTGTTAGAAATGGAGGGAATCAAGTGCACCCAGTCGGTGGGCCAGATGAAGACAACCTATGTAGACAATAAGGTTGAAGTGACAGATTGCAGTGAGATTATGAAAGACATTTATGACCAGAATGAGTATTTTGGACTTTATTATATAAACACCTGAGAGTCAAGAAGTTTCTTTGTTTTTGATGAGGGAGTCGCACCATCTAGATTAGATTTTAGAGATATGACTGGGAAGTTATGTAATTAGAGAAAGGGGTTGGAGAACCAGAGAAAGGCTATTCAAATTATCTAAGCAAATGAAGATGAAGAGCTGAATTAGGGCAATAATTGCAATAATTGTGATGGAAAGGAGAATGAATACCAGAGACTGTTGAGGTGTTTTTTATAGAATTAACTGATTGACACTGGAAATTAGGAGGAAGAAAGAAAGAAAATATGAATTTCTTCTTAGTTGGGCAGTGGTAGAAGTGAAATGGAGATATAAAACAGGAAAGAGGAGGAAGAGTTTATAGAAGAGAATTTGCTCAATTTTAAATATTATAAATTTGAGGTGCTTGATCATCTATGAGGAAAGACAGTTAATAACTTTGCTCCTGATTCCCAAATCTATATTTACAGCTCTACGGTATAGGCCTCATCCAGCCCGTCAAATATATCCAATCAATCACCCAGTTTTCTCAATTCTACTTATGTTTAAAATTCAATAAATTCTGTTCATTCCTAAATACTCTCTTAACCCAGCCTCTTATTTGGCCTACTTAAATCTATTTTCTAAAAATAATAACAACGATCTCTCTAAAATACAATTCAATTATTTTATTGCCCATATAAAAACACTAAGATATCCATCTATCTCTTGGCTTTAAGATAAAGCATAAACTCTTTTATATTGCTAAAATATCCTACCCTACTTGCCTTTTCAGCCCAATCTCTTGTCACTCACCCACAGGATACCCTATGTTCCAGAAAGCTTCCTGGATTTCTTTCTGTGAACCAATGAAAGACATCTTGCTCTGCTCTGTACATCTATATATGCCATTCCCTTTATTTTTAGGATTAACAACATTGTTCTTAACTTCCCACAACTGTAAAAGTGCCTCTATTCCAGAACAGGAAATCATTTATCATCTTAGTCATAGAGGTTCGGATGACATCATTCCTCTTCTTTTTTTTTTTTTTCTCTCTCTCTTTTTTGTGAAGTTCTCATTTATTTCAGAAAGATCTATTTTTCTCAAAGATTTTTGCCTATAACCGTAGAGAATATTATTCCTTCAGTCTACACAATAATATAAACAAAGTTCTTTTCTAAAGGTTGGCAGAAAAATGCCTGAGCCTTTGTGCAATTATACCTTTAGTTATTTCATTGCTTTAATAATTTTTAATAAATGGAATCGCCACTGAACTAGAGAAAATTGTGTTCTGGTAGGATGAGTCATAGAGTCATGGAAGAACATAAAATAGAACCAGAGGAATGAGTTTTATATTCTGTGTGCTTACAACCATTTGACCTGGACACTTCACTTATGGTTTAGGGGGAATTAAGTTTTTCAAATGGGCATTGTGATTTTCTTTTTGTAACAATGTATAATATATAAAGCTCTTTTTTATTCATTAGTTATTTGATTCTCCCAGAATATGTAGGATATATTTATATCTACTTTAAAAATGAGAAAATGAAGGTTCAAAATGTTAAGAGACGTTTTGAAGATCATTCAGATTTTAAATGGTGGGTTCAGAAATTCTGACATTAGATACCTTATTATTTCTACTGTACCATGCTGAATGTGCCTCTTCTACAGAAGACAAGATAGGGATAGATAGTACTATCATGCTTCCTTCAATGGTTCATGATAAAGTTCAATTCTTAATCTTCAAGCACTTGAACAACTTTTTTATTGGTTTTCATTTTTATTATTGTTATTGCTTCTACTACTAAATATAGGAGGTTAAAAAACATGAATTTATATTTATTCACATGTACAAACTGAAAGGCATTGCTATGTAAATTTGTTTATGTGCATTTATAGAATTAACCAAGTAAGCTTAACCAAACTTAACCAAGTAAGATTTTATTTACATTTATTCTGAGGTTTATTGCTTTTATTTTGTTTTGTGTATTTGTTTTGCCAAGATGTTACATGCAGGATTACCAGAGCTAAGTGGAATCCAAGACCTGAAATATGTGTACAATAATCTTCGTCCACAAGACACGGACCTGGAAGCAACAAGTCACTTTACCAAGTAAGATTAGCTGCGAATGCATAAGTGTGCATATGCACGTGTGCACACTCATTTCACATTTGAGATGAATTGGGGGTGAAGAGTCATTGGAATAAAGCTGTGATTTCTAGAACAGCTTGAGTCATCTTTCCCTAGGGGTAGAATAGCACAGTGTGAACGTCTAGCACAAGGCCTTCCTCAGTATTTCTGTAGCATGACATTGTTTGCTAACCAGACTTTATATCTAACACATTGCTCAATAAGAGGTCACTGAAAAGAGCAAGAATGGATGTAAATAAATTGATTGTTCTACTTGAACCATGTCCAGAAAAACAATTTGGCAGAAGAGATTTATGATGAGATAAGGACTCAATACTTTCATCTCTAAGACAAAACAAAGCTGTGTCGTTGCTTGGGCAGAACAATTATAATGCTACAATTTACAATTAGTCCTTCCTATTGTTAAAAAAAGAAAGAAAAAAAACACCATATATTGGATGAAAAAAGCTCTTTCAGGCCCTGGCCTAAGCAAAAATGTAAATATGTTTTATGTGTGGGTCAGAGCCTTCCACATCTCCAAATTTTATCTGACTCCCCAGATCTGTAAAGAGCAGAATCTTAGATACAGGTGAGCTTGCCTAGGTTGGCTCATCTCCCCTTTCCATTCAAGAGGATTTGAACTAATATGGAAAGTAGATCTGAAGACAATCACCTCCTGACAGTGAGTCAGTATATCACCTCCTGCGTATCTTCTGCCAGGCTCATGTTATTCAGATATTACATAGTATGTTCGGTACATTAAATTTCTTCTAAGAAATGTATGGTAAAACATTTATTCTGCATTGCAAACTGAAAGGCATCTGGTCATCTAAACCAGGGCATGTCACTTCCTTGTTCAGTTATTGTCTTTGACTTTCCATTTCCTAACTCTTACTTTTGACTATCAAATAATTTAATTGTCTTTATGAAGGTTTATCCACCCCAAGTCTATTATTACCAAATGAATCTTCTCCAGGGTAGATTACTTTTTTAGTATGCATTCATCTCTGCTTTGTATGTTTAACTCATGTTTATAGCCTCATTAAGAGGAAGGGCATTGGGGGACTGGATGAAAGAAGGTAAATGGATTAAGCAAAAAATGAATTACTTAATTAAAATATATATATATGGCCCAGCCGATGTGGCTCAGTGGTTGAGCATCAACCCATGCACCAAGAGGTCTCTGGTTTGATTCCTGCTCAGGACACATGACCAGGCTGTGGGCCAAGTCCCCAGTAGGGGGCATGCTGAAGGCAACCAATTGATGTTCTCTCTCATCAATGTTTTATCTCTCTCTCCCTCTCCCTTCCTTTCTCTCTAAAATCAATAAAGAAAAAAATGTTTTTAATTTTCTGAGGACCAATGAGTCTCAGGTTCATTTCCAGCCAAGGGCACATACCTCAGTTGTGATTTGTCCCCGGCCCTGGTCAGTGTCATATGGGAGGCAACCAGTCGATGTGTCTCTCTTTCTCTTCCTCTCTCTCTCCCACTCTGACTGAGGATAACTGGAAAATGTCCTTGGGTGAGGATTAAAAATAAAAATAAAAATAAATGAAAAAAAGGAGACTTTGCTTAGGGCAATAGACCCATGATGCAGTGTGCAGATGATGTTTTATTGAGTTGTACACTTGAAACTTCTATGGTTTGTGAACCAATGTCACCCTCAATAAATTCCATTAAATTTTTTTTAAATGGGAGGTTTATATGACAGTATTCAAATAAATATTTAAAAATCAGGTGCAGTTGTTTACTTTTCTATGTGAATAATATTCTCTTAAGCAGTATTCTCTGATATCACAGGAACTTCTAACCTTAAGGAGAAACTTAAAGTGTAGACATCAATGCACATAATTTACCAAAAAGAAACAAAGTTCTATAATGGATCCAACATTGGCCTTGGAGCTTCAAGGAGGTTCATTAACTCTACATACATATGAGAGCCCCTGTGTACTTAAATTCCTTGTCCTGTTTGTTCTGATAAGCTAAAAGTGTTTTATGTCACTGTTTATTTTGATGTCACTACTAAGATACAGATAAAAATAAAACAATAAAATCCACCTTCCCCCTACCACCAAGCTCACAGATCTGGGTCTTTAATGAGGACTAAGCCATCTGAGACACAGTATGTGTGGCTCCCTGAAGTGCTTTGGTCCTGACTATATTATTAGCATTAAGAGGCTGCCATCCTTGACCCTGTTTGAGATTTAAAAGAAAAAAAAGGGATTTTCCCACCTCTCCAAGGCAGTGGTCTACCTATGAATAATACAGGATCCTACCTCACTCTTGGTTATTCACATTCTGGGTTAAGAGCAGATTATAAGAGTTTCAGAGGATGCTGTACACTGTGTGGCATCAAGAACTGTATCAGAATTAATGGCATTTAAAAAAAATGAATATAAAATTGTTTTGCTGGCCACAAAGGTTTTTCACATCATTTCCAAATCTTCTCTCTGCTGTCCTTGCTTTTTTCTATTCCTTTTTCAGCTGAGTGCTGTTGAATAGAACCAAGAAAGTATCATGACTCAGTCTCGGCAAATTGATACTCTCATGTAATATCTCTGCTGGGCCCAGTGCTAGGCAACAAAGGCAATCATCTATTAAAATGCTGTCCAAAAGGGTTATTTCAGAATTTTCAATCATCTCAAACCTTGAGTTAGCTGTCCTTAGAAACAGATAGCTTATTTCACAGCCCAGACTGGGATCATTACGAAGAAGCTTCTCTGCTTACCTCTCCTCCCACATACAGATCATGCTTTTCACTTTATCCATTTCCTCCTCCAAAAATGTGAAAGAAAATTTTACATGTTTCCCAGGATTCCATTTGGTCTGCCACATAGATTTTTTTGGTTTAGTAAGTATAATAATTCTTGTTCTTCAGCTGGAATTAAAAATAATTTGAAGCAAAATAAAACTTCAATCCTGAAAAAACAAATAGTTTGCATTAGTGAGGTGTTTTGGCAGCAAGAATCAGAGATTCTATCTGGTATCCTTGGGAAAGGGGTCATACATGGACTCAAACTATAAGCTAACAAACCCCAGAAACCACCAGGATCTGCTTAGTTTCTAATGGAAAACAAGATCTTCTACTCTGGTTATCTCTGCCTATCATATTCTACTTCTCGTTATCCATTGGCCAGTATTCTCTAGTATAAATTACAGAGAGACACAATCTCATTGACTTAATTATCAGACAGGTCCTTCATGAAAAGCTATCGTGGGTTCTCTTTGCTATCCATACTCCTATCATGGGCAATCCCTTCGCAAAGAACAACCCATAGCTTTTTCTCTGAACTTTGAGTTTTAGAGAGAGTTTCTTAGTTAGAAGGGGCCATTGGGCAGAGCAGAAACAGTGACTGTCTCAGCAGGTACAGCTGTGAAGCCATTGGAAATGTCAATGATACCCAGAGAGAATGTTCCCAGTCTCCACATCACAATCAAAGGAGCCAGGGCCCCTGAACTACCTAGGCTGTGCAGACACAATGCCAGAAATTCCCTGTGTTCCCTCATTCTTCTTACTTATTTCTCTTGCTTACAGAGTGAGACAAGACTCTTATGCTCAAATGTCTCAAAACATAGTTTAGTGCTTTTCTATCTGGTTGCTTTTCAAGACTGAGAGACTATGGGACAGGGATGAAGATCCCTAGGTTCTTCTATTGTTAACTTTTCTTGATGCATTTTTAGTACTTTGTATATTGTCATCTCATGGATTATTGTATTTCCACACATAAAGGTCAGAATTTTCCTTTGCCTTAGCTTCACCATTGATACCTACAAAAATAAATGTTCACAAGAAAAAGAAAAAATAAAAGCAGAACCTAGAGAAATTAGCAATCGTGTTGTCCAACTTTCCCTAAATTAGAAAAGTAGATTCAAAGAAAAATGCAAAGTGAAATTTCTCTTTTCATTGTGAAAGTCTCACATTTAAAAATTTTAATTATAAAAACTAATCTGAACTAAATTGACTTTATAAAGAAATTTTTTGCAGGTATAACAGCTTTTATAATACCATACTTCCAAAAGTGTGTGGCCCAGTCACACTCTCTATGATGTTTAAAAGCTTAATTGCTTTAAAAATTTCTGCAATAGGAGAATCTCTATTTTTGAACTATGTAAGTTACACTGAAAATGTGCCCAATTTGCCTAAATATTAAGTCAGGGTACACCTTAGCTAAAAAATATATGTATTTTGAACTCTTCCTGAGACTATCAATCTAAAGGTTAAAGGCATTTGAAAGTTTGAAGTACCCACCAAGAGTACCAGAAATCATTAGTTTAAAAAGATGAATAGTCCAGATGGCACTGTTTCATTTCAGCTGTTATCTCCCAACAGGTGTGTACATCACTTCGTCCTCCCTTGTGTGCCTGACCCTGTGCATTGCATAAAATTGCTATATGCCAGGAATTTAACAAACAATGAGACTAAAATAATTTACTATTTTAAAATATATTTTCATATTTTAAAGATTTTATTAGCTTAATTATAACACCATTTATCACTATTGATTTTTTTTATAGTATTTCATGTAAATATTTCTATTCTTGCTTTGCATACAATTTCATTTTACTATCATCCATAAAATAAGCTGGCTTTGGGAGGAGAGGATAGTAGTCTGAAATATCATGTCACTGGTACATTGCTATGTATAACAAGACAAGTCCATCAACCTTTCCTTAATTCCTTTATTTCATTTGCTTTGTTTTGGACAATTTTTATAAGAAGCTTCCAAAAGAAATAATTAAGAATCACTTATTCATAGTCAAGGCCGGGGAGCCTGGAACTCGTTTAGAAGAAGAGTTAGGTAGCTGCGATGACATTTACGTAAGACTTGCTGACCTGTCGATGAATTCTGAAGATGTAGAACTTCAACTGGGAAAATAGAGAAGTTTGGTTGTTTTGAAAGCCAAGTTCTAAACTATAAAATGGGAGAAAGTAAAGAAAAGAAACTCTGAAGTTGCCTCTTCCTTAATCCCTATCTAATATC